AGAATCTCTTCACAAGTAGTACCCAAGGGATCGCTGAGTGGTTGATGCTTAGGAGCAACAATATAAAGATTCCAAGTTCGAATTCCACCTGCAAGACTCAGTGTGAGCCATCTAATCTAACATTTGTGAGCCGATTTACCTTACACCTCTGCTTGTGAACTATAGCAAGTTACCCGGTGTATTTGTCGAGGCGCGCAAGGTGGCCCCTACCCAAAAAGAAGTCTTCATGAGCAATTGTGTTGTTATATACATGACAATGTGGAAAAATGAGTTATTCTCTGGTGAATTTTGCATTCAACCTAATGGGTTATAAATGGGAAGGCAGTAAATGGGTGTATTCACTAGTTATACGCTTGAACACTTGTTTAATAGTTTGATCAATTTCAACATTACCTCTTCTCTCAAAGGTTTTATTTATGTATTTATCTTTCACATCAAAGGTTTTATTTATTTATTTGTGTAAATTTTGGCCCTTCATTTTCCTCTTGTTCTTTTCTATGTGCTTTAACAGTTTCAAGTGAATGTTCTATCTCAGGTCAATAACTCTTGCTGGTGTTCGTCGACTTCTGGAAGAAGATCTTGGTCTTGAGAAAAATACTCTTGATGCCTTTAAGAAATTTATTCAGAACCAAGTAGATGAGGTGGGATTTCAGATTTGTTTCGAAAAGTTCTTTACTTCGAAGGGGGGAGTATGTTTATTAATTTATTTTAAAAAAAAAATTGTTAACAGGTGATAACATCTTCTGAAGCTCCTAAATCCACCAATAGTGGTAAGAAAAGCCCTGAAAAAAGAAATAAAGCAGCAGAGAAGAGTGATGAAAACTCTAATTCATTTAGCAGCCGAAGTAAAAATGTAGCAGAGAAAGTAAAATCAGGTAAGAAATCTGCCGCAAAAGAGACGGCTGAGAAATCTGAAGGACCGAAGAAACGAAAAAGTCCTAATTCAGAGGATAATGTCCCTGCCAAAAAGCAGAAAGAAGTTTCTAAGAAGCTATCAGATGAGAGTAGTGATGGAGATACCAGTAAGAGTGATTCTGAAGATGGTCAATCTGGATCATCTGCTGAAATTCCTGCCAAGGTGAGGTTATTATGATAATGTCCGTATAATTATGCTTATTTGTAAAAAAAAACTCCCTGTGCGCGTATTTGGTTATTCATTAAACTTACCTAAATGCAGAAGAAAGTTGTAAAGGGAGCACCAGCTACTGCTGGACATGGAAAACGTGTGGAGCATTTGAAATCAATAATTAAAGCTTGTGGGATGAGGTTTGCCTTTTTGTAAGATTTCAATTCTATATGTATTAACTGATGCACAGACCCACATTCTAATTCAATCGTTCAACTGCACCTGATCATCCTAAAAACCAGTGTTGCTCCTTCTATTTATAAGAGAGCCAAGCAGGTGTCTGACGACAAGCGTGAGGGTTTCCTGATAAAGGAGTTGGAAAAGATACTTTCTGGAGAAGGGCTATCAACGAATCCCAGCGAGAAAGGTACAATATTACTATATAAAAGTGTCTAATAGGAGCAGGAAGATTCCGCAAGTGTGGTATCTAACAATTTTACAGCTGAAATGTAATATAGCTTCTCACTTCTGTTTCAAATTCTTGCTACTATCATTCTCTCTCTGCTACTTTAAGACTTGCTTGCTTATTTTATCTGCTCCTTTTTGGTTGAACAAATTCCCATATCTAGTTGGGAAGTGTTGAATAGCTTTATAGGTGCATGTATGGGGAAGTTTTATTATGTAACTTTTATTCTGATGCCACTTCTGATTGGCCCAGAAATCAAAGAAGTCAAAAAGAGAAAGGAAAGAGCAAAGGAATTGGAAGGCATTGACCTAAGCAACATTGTTTCAAATACACGACGGAGATCAACGACCAGCTTTGTTCCTCCTCCAAGACCCAAGTTACCTCCTAAAGAGGATAAGAATGACGACAAAAAGGATGATAGCAGCAATGATGATGCAAGTGACGGCGAAAAAGACGATGATGACGATGAAGATGATGATAGCAGTCAGAGTGAGGAGTTCAATGAAGGTATATTTGCTAGCATATATATTCTACAGTGGTGGTTTACTGATTTGAGTTGCTTTTACCTTCTAGGCATTAGCTTTCTTGTTCAGTTGAGTTTCCCTGTATTTTCCTTTTTGCTAAACACTGGCCTCTTAGATGCTCTACTGGTGGCATGTTTTTGTGCTGCAATAACAGCGATTTTTCTCTTTCTTTGGTTGAAGTTCCATAACGGCAATATTCCTCTTTTGTCGAAATTCCAAAATTTCGTTTGCACTGGCCATGTGCGTAGACTCTCCCTGTTAGCATATGTTGACAATTTTAGATGAGACAAAGCATTGTTTCTTTTTTCTCCCTATGAAGTAGAGTACCAGTTTTGTTTGCTCTTGGCCTAAAACTAAATCACTTCAACTCTAGGTGTAACTAGAACAAGATTAAGTGTAATCTTGTGGAACACAAGTATTTTGGTGTACGTAATTTGCAACAGTACTCCATCTGAAATTGTTGATCATTTGCATAAATTTATCACATGATTGTTTCTCGTTTCTAAAATTCCCTTTTCCGTGGCAGATGCAGATGATAACGAGGACAGTGAATGAAGCTTTCATGGATGAAGATTATAAGTTACAGACCAGTCAGTCGATCATGTTTCGAACGTATCAATAGTTTCGGTTTTCTCATCTTAGATTTGGGGGCTGAGATTTAGTGTATTTTAGAAGTATATTTATATGAGATGTGATATTTAGTTGGTTCTGAAATATTAAATTAGTGGTCATGGATCTTAGAAGCCTTAGTTGTTAGTTATCGTGCGATTTTGTAAATGGAGCATCTTTGCTTGTGCATTGTGGGAGGTTTAATCTTCGTGTTTGTGCTGGTAGCAGTGTGTTATAGGCTTTTTCGGCGCAAGGGAGTTCCGGTGGTAACAGTTTTAAAAAAACTTTCTCGGAGCGTGCCCCCCTTAGAAAATGCCCCTGTGGGAGACACTTCTATCGCGAGGCCTACACCTAGTGTTCGACTGTGCGCCCCAAAGCACATAAACACGTTCAATGTGCAGCTCTCGATGTTAGCACTTAGCCCATCAGCTTTCATGGAAATCATGTGCACAATTTCTGACTCTTATTGACCCTCAGAATTCTTTTACTAACCTTGACTTTTCGAAGTCTTCATCAATTTCAATTATGAAGTTTGAGAATATTTCAACCCTAAACCACATATTCTATTATTGCGAAGTCAGGTTGAGATACAACTTTACATGTCTTTGGAAATTGGCGAATTTCATGTTTTCATTTTGCTAATGGCTTTTAGATCTTAGTGTATATTTTCAGAAATTATTATTTTTAATTGTTTCCCGTTCGAAACAATATTGCTCTATTTGTGTTCATTGGTGAAGGAACCTAATTATTTAGCTTGTAAGTTTTAATAAGTGACGACTTTTAAATAATTATTCACATGATATACTCATTTTAGTGAGTAGTTATCCTAACAAGAATTATTTCTTGATTTAATGACTTGTCGTGAGATGCATAACGATGTTCTCCTGTATATAGAAATTGCTTCTTTAAGATAAAAGTTATCTTTTTTATGTTTTTATTTGTGCCAAAACTAGGTATACAATATTGAAAGGAGTAGTTTTTGAAGTCTGTAACTACAACGCTTCCTTCTTTATTTGCTGTTAGGAGGTACAAGATATAGTCTGACATCCTTTTGTATCTTTAAGATGCTTGTAGTTGATTTACGTCTCATAATAATTTTTTAGTGTTCACTGTTGGTAAGGTTTTTATGACTAATCGTTGTATTTTTTCAATGTTGATCAACCTTACTATCTTGTTTTTATTTTGCTCTTATATGACTTTTTGGTGCTGTTCCTTCTTGTTTATATTTTCATTAATGTGGTGCTTATGCTTTCCTGAGCCGAGGGTCTGTTGGAAATAATCTTTCTATCCTCACAAGGTAGGGGTAAGGTTTGCGTACACACTACCCTCCCCGGACCCCACGGTGTGGGATAATATTGGGTATGTTATTGTAATAATTTTTTTAGTGTTCTATCTTTTTATATCTCATAATAACTCTTATAATGCTGTATTTTATTTACTTCGTAAGCAGATTCTTTCTTTTCCGTAATTTCAACAATTGTTTCTTTATTTAATTTTTTTTCGTAATGTATTTTTATTATTTGTATTATTATGCTTTAAGCTTTTGTACAATAATAAAAGTTAAAAGATTCGTCCCCTAAGGTGGAAGGGAGGAGACTGGTACGTAATAATCAGGATGCTCCTTGGTGGAGTTTCATTTTATACTTGGCCATTCAAAGGAGGTTATTAACCAAGGATAGACTAGCAAAGTGGACAAGAGGGGTTGCTTTGATGGTAAGCAACCCTCACTTCCAATCAAGAGGTTGTGAGTTCGAGTCACCCCAAGAGCAAGGTGGGAAGTTCTTGGTGGGAAGGATGCCGAGTTTCTATTTGGAAACCTCGTTGTTGATAGACTAGCTGGGGGTTGCAACTGATATGAGGTATCCTTTGTGTTCTTCTGATGAGTCCACTGATCGTTTGCCATTTAATTGTCCTATTTCTACTTCTATTTGGACAAAGCTAGCGCCCTGGATGGGGGTTTGGCAGGCAAGCAATGGAGTGGCAGAGTGAATTGAAGATGGCTACAAACTATTTTCTAGTGCAGTTATCTATGGGATGACTCTAGTCTATCATGTTTGACAAGAAAGAACTTGAGAATCTTCAGTAACATATTTGAAGTGCCAGAATTGTTCATAAGATCAAGAGATGATCGAATTAATAGCTTGTGTGCGCACTTGTCTGATGTCATAGGGTGTTTTTAAAGCTCCATTTTCAGACAAAAGAATCTTACATCTGCTAGATGTCTACAGTGGACCTCGCTCGGGAGCACAAGCTATTAATTCGAACATCTCTCGATCTTATGAGCAAGTCTGACACTTCAAGTATGTTACTGAAGGTTGTCAAAGCCAATACTATATTATTTTTCCAGAATGCACGAAATCTGAAGGAACTTAGACATAGAAAAGCAATTATTTTCCCTCCCAGTTGCAAAGAAGAATAATGTGTGTCTGTCATATGTCTAGACATAGTAATACA